CGGCGCCGCGGGGGCTGCCGGGGGCTGTAGGCGGCGGCGCCACGCGGGGCTGGCCCACACAACAGGGGAAACTGGAAAATTAGGGCTATTACACACGCACTCCCTTCCAGGGTGTATCTATTATGTATGTTATGTGTACACACGCCTTCGCTTCACTCGCTTTTCCTTTTTTTTTTTTTTTTTTGGTAAGCACAGAGTTTCTTTCACACATTCACCAGTGTCAGAGCCCCTCCATCTCCCTTAACTGGGAGAGGTGGCACGAAAAGAAGGGAGAATAAAATCCCAAGAACAGAAGGATCCCTGAGGAGTCATCAGTTGCTGGAAAAAAAATGAATTCGTGCTGGGGAAGACGCCGTGGGAGCCCTTTGGTGCTTTTCCATGATTTGGTGCTAGTTTAATTCCAAGCAGGGTACACACGGCTGCTTTGTGAGGCACATCTCTCCAGCGTATGGGCTGAAGGTGGCAGCGTAAATTGCAAGAGTGATCTGGCCTTTCAGATGATTAAAAAAGGTGCTTAAGCAGCACTTGATTTGGGCCCGCTTCCGTGCGTGGGGATGGTGGGCGCCGTGTCTCCGGCCACCGACCAAGGCCGCTCTCCCTCTGTACGGTGAGAAAAGGAAGGAAGAGCTTGATCAGAGAACACGCAAGGAGGGAGAGCATAGTGAGGCCTGCAAGAGAATAGGCACATCCTGTCACAATTTCCAACAAGTGACATTTKCCACATCTTTTTTTAAAATATGCTTTCCACAAAAAAGTTCCAGGCCTCGCAGCTGACAGCTGCTGTCCAGCACAAAGCATTTTCAGATGATGAGGAGAGATGGGTTAAGCTGCTCCTCCTCTGAGGACGCCTTCCAAGTCTGTTTTCTCTCTTGGTCAGCTGTTTGAATAACAGGCTGAAAATTACCGGTGTTCAGATAAAGCTGTGGCTAATTAAACTTTAATAGGACAAGCAGGCAAAATATTTCAAACACCATTAAACTCATCTGTGTTTGAGATCTTCACCTTGCCTCTGGACTGTGGCATTCAAAACACAAAGCCATTTAGGGGAGGGGTGATCATGGCCTGAAGCTTCTCACTTTTCTGAGTAATTAATATAGGCTAGTCTCGTTAAAATTACATTGTATTTTGAAATCATCTTTTTGAAATCAGCTGTGGTGGCCTAAAGCAGGGTGGGTGGTTTCTTTCAATTAGTTCTGCTTTTGTTAATTCTCTCCCAGCAAAGACTAAAAAAAAAAAAGAAAAAAGAAAAAAGAAAAAAAAAGAACACACAAGTCATTCTGATCACATCACCTCTGGGAGTTTGAAGAAATAAGGGACAGGAGGGAGCTTTTTATTGCGCTGAAGTAGAAAGAAATGGGCTGTGCAACAACAACATTGGAGTAAGCTGGAAAGACTCTCTCCCCAGCTAAGTCAAAAGTAGTTTGATAGAGAATTCAAAGTCCAGCATAGTCCAGACAAACAGAAGAACATTCAGGGTCAGAAACAAGTTCACAAAGCTCCTAAATTTCTCTAGCATCTAACAAATACCCCATCTTTYATTTTCTTTCCTTATCAGAAAAAACTTATTTGCTGCAGAGAATAATTTGCACCCTCAGAGTGCATCTATCATCCAYACCAAGCACCAACAAGCCAAGGACCTGGAAAAACACATTGGAACAGCTGGTTCCTAAATTCCATCTGTAAATATGAGTGCAAAAGACTATAGAGCCACAGGTTATTAAAACAGCCAAGGAGCATCACAAAGCCCCGAAAACCACCAGTTTGGCAAAGCCTGTAAGTCCCGTGGTCTCTCCACTTCATTAATCCTAMTATTTTGGATCTATTTGCTCCCCAAATCCTGGTGCTCTGAAAGCCAGGCCAGACTTTTATCATCTTTCAAGTCTGAGAGAATGGGAATGGACTCAGGTCCCATATGCCTTGCTCTTCAGTGCAGGCASCACCTGGCATTGCTCTCTTAAACAGCTGGCAGTGTGCTCTGGAGGGGGTCACGGAAAGGTATGTGATAAAAACACCTTGTCACAATCAAGCATCTCACAGTAACTCGGCACACAGAACACGGAGACTTGATTAAACAGCAGACAGGGAAGGAAAAGCCCACCTGGAATCAACGTGACTAAAGGTCTAGGGATTCAACAGGAAATGAGCTACAGGCGAGCAACATGACACAGCAAACAGACCTCATTTAATAAAGCTTTTATTATTGTCCTGTACCAAACATCATTACAGAATTAAACTAAAGCGCCAGCTCAATTTTCCCACCCATCTTGCCTTGGTAGGGTACTAGCGCCGGTCGAACCTCCTCCTTCAGGAACTTTGCCACCTGTTCAAGGAAGAGGGGAAGGAGAAAGTGAGCAAAGGAAAGGATTCCCTGCACCTCACTCAGGCCCGGCTTGCCTCATTGAGGACTCTGCCTCATAAAGGCATCCAGCAGTCACACATGCCCAGGGTCAAAAGTGCAAAGACCCTAGAGGAGAAAGACTAGGAAATCATAGAGAGCGATGAAGAGAAAGGTGCCCACCTTGGCAGTATGGATACAGACAGCAATATGCACATTCTCTGGCATGCAAAGGGATGTAGGATTAGGCAGTTCACTGCATAGCAATCCATAACACTTTCAGCTTCTTTCCACTCATTTACCTGCTGAGGAGCACGTCCAGTGAAGGAGGAGGGATCCAAAAGGCTTTCAAGATGTCCATGGATGGGGCTGAAGTAGGGATCGGCACGGACACGGTCAATGAGGTCATTATCACCCCCCTCCTGTTTCACAACCGCAGCTGCTTGCTGGGAAAGAACACGAATCTTCTCATGGCAATCCTGGAGGGGTAGGGAAAAGACAAGGGGAGAAGAAAAGGAAAACGTCACTGCATTGTTACTCACAGTGTATGTCCAGCCCGGTGACTTGTATACAGGAGGAGAAAACATCAAARCTCTGCAGAGCATGCAAATGGAACGCAGTCTGGAGTGCAGAATGCCCTATATCACTACATTAAAACAAGATTTTCTTCACCCTTCCACATCTGCCCTTTCAGATTAACGGTCTAAACGACAAACTTTGTTCAATTATATCAAACACAATGACAGTTGAATCCTTTCCACTTCCTCAAACCTCTAAATACTCTTAGTATTCACTATGGGATTTTTTTAGTTGTTCTATCCTGTGCTTATATGATTGTTCTCAAGACAGACTACAATAGCTGTTCCCCAAAACAGTCTATGAACTGTACTGAAAGAACTACTTATTCACTCCTAGTCATCCTGTGTGGAACATCTCTGAAGCATAACAGTGCAAAACATYCACAGGCTTGGAAAAACACCCCAAATAACTACTCAGCTTAATGTGCAATGTGACTGTGAACCATGGCTTACATAAAAACGGATGAAAGAAAGAAAAAAGAAAAAGAATACCACAACACACAAAACGTGAGGGCCTGAGACACACTTCCTGAAGGAATCCTTGCAATAAGCTGTCACTGTGAAAAATCTTAGAATTATTTCCTTAGAACACTTCCTACTTGCTTGACTTGCAGTCACMCTGTAAAAAGCAGAGAATCTGATTGCAGAACCATCTGCAGATCAGAGCAGATCAGCTGAGAGTCTGATTGCAGAATCATCTGCAAAATCAGATTATRCTACAGTGCTGGTCCTAACTATACCACGTGGTAAAAGTTATAGCCATGTCAGGATTTCCTCGTCAAATGTATTATCCACAATTAATCTACACGGTAAAATGATGTACTCCATCCAAAGGTCATCTTGCTCCAAAACTGAGCTGCCCATTTCTCGGCCCCAAATKAACAGATGGCCTTCTGGATGGTCAGCAGTGGGAAAAGGCAAGGAGTTTCCTTTCTCTGCAACAAGGTAGAAAACCTCAGATGTATCTTTAGAAAAGGTTATTGTGTACTTTAGAAAGTACACAATAACATAACATATAAACAGGAATAAAAACAGGTTTATAACTGCAGAATTATAATAGAAGAGCATCAGAATTAAGGTATTCCAATAACAAATAAAAATAGATCTTCAACTGAATCAAAATAGGGAAAGGTGGGGTTCCCCCCCCCCCCCAAAAAAAAAAAAAAATTAAGGGATAAGAGAATAAGAATCAGTTGAAAAGATATGGAAATTTATCCATATGATGTGAACCTTCATATATTTATTCAAGACGCCTGCTCGCTGACCCCGTGGTGAACATCAGAGAGATCCAGAAAAGAAACACTGTTTCTTGACTAATATCAAGTTAGAAGCATTTCAGACAACTAGAATCRTATGTTTTACTCAAAACTTCCAGCAACTTTTAATATATTGTGAGTTTAACTTCTCTTCCTATTGTGAAAACAATTATGGAAGGATAAATTAGTATCTAAAGGTAAGTGAAAAAAGTTGGCTTATTAAGATGAAAATTWGATTAAAAATTTTACACTGAATTGTGAATTAAATAAGACAATAAATCTAATTGTGCCTGGATTTATTTGCTAAGAAAAATATTTAATTTCAGTTGGTTTGGATATTGAATGAAGGCCTATAAGCCAAGTTCGTTAAAACAAAGCACAATACTGAGTTAGAGAAATGCAACAGGAATGGGTGATTCAGAATGGTCTGTCCTGCTTTGTCATTGACAGCACTGATTCATTCTTTAAATTTATAACCAAATATCAACGTGTTCCATGTAAAGAAGGGCAGCCTGTGTTCCACATTTCTTCAAACGTTTACAAAAAAATTGAAATGTCCATAGGTATCTATTATAATCAAAATTGCTTGTACTCTCTCTCTCTGCCTCTTTCCATCACAACCAGGCAGTTTAACTCCAACACACACAGCATTCCTAACAGTAAACACAGACGTCCACAAAAATCTTCTCGGAGAGCTGTCTGGCTTTGCAGCACCAGCGTAATATCAGTAACTCTGTGGGAGCAGGCGGGGAACAAAGAAAGGAGAGTCAGAGAAGAGCCCAGATAACTTCTGTTCCTCAAGAGGGAAGTCTGGGCAGCAAATACAGATATTCTCAACTGTGCTTCTACCTGACGATTGCCTCCTGCTTTCACCATTGCCATGATTATGTTCTCTGTGGCCATGAATGGCAGCTCCTGCCGGATCCTCCTTGCAATCACCTGAAAAAAAAAATAAACAAACCAGAAAACTGGTGATGCTGGGGCTCCTGGTAAAGTTTTGAAGTCTGAATCCTAAAGACTGTACAATGATGCAAAGGTAATTTTTCTTTCTGAGCTTGCCTSTGGAAATCTAGGAACTGAAGCTGATGATACGTAAAAGCTGAATCTCATGAGGAATAATACTGCAGAAAAGATGTATTTTTTTTTCACTTTAAGTATGGGTAAGTTATAGGATTGTAAGACATTTTCTGTGACAGTACATTTCAGCAGTAAGATCCACTGAACAGCTCAGAGGAAAAATATCCCTTTGAGAAGTTCTGAGCCATCATTTGGCTTCAACAAATTCCATTTAATTTCTCTACTGCACAGAGCATAGAAGGAGAGCTGAATTCAGAAACCCTTTGCACTAGCAGACAAAAACATAAYCCTCTGAGGGGAAGAATTTTCACAGGTTTTGGCATAGTTGCAGCAGTAATGAGGATACAGCACTGCACGAGTTATCTCCTGTTTTACCTTTGGATATACCACAAGTCCCTCGGAGATATTCTGCAGTGTGCTCAGAATGATGTCAGCTGTGAGGAAAGCCTCAGCGAGACACACGCGCCTATGGAACACACACACCCAGGGCCCCAGTTAGCAATAAAAGGCCACGACCCAGTCTACCTCAGATCTGCTCTTAACCTTCTGTAGGTGTCTCTAGATAACACTCCCAGGCTCTAAAGCAGGAGCTGTTCCTTCTACATGTTTCTTACTGTGTAAAAAAAAAGCTAAGGGACATCTCATAGCAGTAGCTCTTGAGCTGGGGAGAAGGGAGAGGGTGTTTGCTCCTCTGATCAGTAGAAGGAGGGGAAGACAGAAGGGGAAATGACAAAGGCACACGCTGAATTATCTTGGAGCCTTCTATGATTACACAGTAAGGAAAGGGCAGCAAACTTCAGACCTAGCAAACACATGCAAATCTCTTCCCCAACATGTTCCACGTTGCCCTGGCTACTGATCCTACCCTGCAGGAGCAGGGATTGCTGCCTGCTCACACTGCGCCTGGTTACAGGGAGCTTCCAAGAGGATCTAAGTGTTTGTTGGGCCCATCACAAGTTCCTACTGTCACTAATGAATGCTGGTTCCCTCCAAGAGGCCTGGAGGTGAAAGGAGAGAAAGGACAGCAGTGGTGGGGCTGAGCTGCAACAGGCAAAGGCTCCTGGTAACTGTGCAGCAACCACAAAACACCCACCCATGGGGGCAGCACTCCACCAGTTCCAACTGGTGAGGAGACCTTAACAGAGACCTTGAATCTTGTGCTACAGTTAAGACACCAAATCCTATCATCATGTCTTCAGAGGATCTCTATTTGCTGTTGTGTAGGTTATATGCTTGCTTTTTCTCTATTTACACTTTAGCTTCGATAAGAAAAATCCAAAGCATAGAATTTCATAATTGGATTATGAGGTAGGTAGATAAAACTTTTTTTTATTCAGTGATGTAGAAATTAAACTTGAACATTCCAGTATGTATCTTAACACTTGGTATCTATGGAAAATAAACCTACTAGATCAACCAGCATCCAATTCTGCATTGTCTTCTGCTGTCCATGCAGTTGTTTTCTTAAGGAAAAAAGCAGCATTTACACCTGTGGAGTCAATTCATTTCGGGAAAAATATCTTCTGCTCCTTCAAAGAATTTTATGCAATTGTTTGCAACAACATCTTTAAAATAACATTCTAACCAATAATCTGATTACCAGTTTACAGTCAAAATTGCTATCGCTCATTGGTCCTCAGGGCCTGCRTCTTAGAAATCTTGAAGGTTCTAAAATTCTTAGAGACCAAATTCTGTAACAGAAGACTACTTCAACAATAAAGCATTTTAAAGGTATGTGCAAATTTAATGCCAGCTCTAAGTTGGAAGCAATTAATTTATAATATTTTATAATAATTATAATTTACTTTATAACAATTATAGTTAAGTCCAGCTCATATCAAAACAGTTGTAATGAAGAAATAGAGAGGAATGCCAGGTTTGCTCAGTAGCATCTATAAGACATGCATAGGTTCTCATGAAACTTTGCTCACAGCACTAATGATTTGTGCTCTTTAGTGTCTGGACAGTTTGTAGTAAAAACAATATTTTACAAAGATTTAAATGAGTTTCTTCAGACTAACTGGAAGATGAAAGGACTGTATGTTGAATGCTGAATTATTGTGTAATATGTGTGTAATATGTGAAGTGTAATATGTGAAGAGGAATAAGATGATCCATTTCAGAACAGATAGAAAGGAAAACTAAATTTGAGAAGTTTGAGAACTGATATTCTGTAGCAACATGTTGTTAAGACAGGAAAAGACTAAAAGAGCAACTTATCACCCACAGCTTCTGCATCATTCTCCTTCTGCTGGCTTACCTTCCAGAAGGTCTTGATGGTATAAAAAAACAAAAATAACAGTTTTGATCTGATCTTAAAGAGAGAGGAAATCAGTTTACAGTCTCTAGATTCTCTTTAGTGAGACTGTTGGCAGGTGGTAACTGCCAGCTTAAAGTTCAAGAGTTACAGTTTTTGTTTAAAAATAGTATTTTAAAAATACATCAAAGCACCATATTGCCCAAGAGCTGAAACTACTGTGTGATTTAAACCAACCTGTTGGCACTGTCATCCAACGTTCGCTCAAACCACTGCACAGAGGCCGTCTGGAGGGGATCCAGGACGAGAGTCATCAGGTGCCTGGCCAGGCTGCAGCAGCGCTCTGAACGCATGGGGTTTCTCTTGTAAGGCATGGCGCTGGAACCTGYGTAAGCAGAGATGGTGATGCCAGCAGGGCAAGAGAAGTGCACTCAGGAAAAGAGAAATGTCCTTCCCTCAAGAACAACACTGTTTCAGGAATCATATTTTGTATAGAGCCTCAGCACATGATGTTTTCTTAAGGATAAAATGGAAAAATGACACTCCTATATCAGCACCCTTCTCCTGCAGATCAGATCATCCCAGCTGTGGGGAGCAAAGTGTTTGAACACATTCTGCAGTTCTGCAAAGCAGATAAAACTTACTTAATTTTTAGTTTGCAGAATTTAGCGGCACCTCTTTATGCTACCACCCATGGCGACTTGAGCAGACAGGGTGTTAAATGCTGCTGAATAACACTGCTTTTGGAAGTCAGATCATTATACGGGCTGGCTTTTGCTCTGTCATGTGAAGATCAAAACTAATCCTAAAATGCAGAATGGCTGAAGTAACAGCTATGGCTAAGGACAGCTATGGCCCCAGAAATGCCATCCCCTTACCGATCTGGTCTTTCTCAAAAGGCTCCTCTATCTCCTTCAGGTTGGCCAGAAGACGAATGTCAGTACAAATCTATGGAGAAAGCCAAGAAATTAATAGAGAAGCAAACTAGCATATGCCAATATGAATTCCTGTCTGTGTGCTCAGAGACTTGCTTGTGTTTGTGTCCAAGAAGTAAATTATCAAGACAGTGAAAAATTGGATAAAAAAAAAAAAAAAAAAAAAAAAAAAAAAAAAAAAAAAAAAAAAAAAAAAGACACTTCAATCATGCTTTCTGGCATAGCTTTACAACATAGAAGAAAAGGGACCAGATTTTCTGGAAGAGAGCATTATACTGAAACTTTCAATTCAGGCCTAAAAATTTTCTTAGTGTAGGCCTAAAAAAATGTAAGTAAAGAGAACAAAAGGGCAACCACCACATCAAAATACAACAGGGTTCTGGAAAGGGCAGATGCTTGCAAGGAATGGAAGAGATACCAGGAGGGRATACTGAAAAAGCATAACAAAACTTTATAAACACGGATTTATAAACACAGATAATGTGTGCTCACTGAACGAGGCAGCCTATGAAACTCAGAAGAAAATACCACAGATCACTTGGCCCAAGAGGAAGAATGTATAAATCAATGAAAAGAATCCACAAGGACACAGAGACTAACATTGTTATCAGAGAAGCAATTCACTGGAAGCAAATGGTGAAATTTAAAAACTCATACACCACTAGGAAAGACATTTACTCTAATTGGATCAATTTTAACACAGATTAGTCTAATATGTGGTGTGGGATTTGTTAACCCATCTTAGCATCTGTTCAGCAAACTTGTTTTATTTACCATTAGTCTTATAATCTTGTGTGGCCTAGAAATCCACCTAGTGATGAATATACAGGATAATAAAGAGAAGAGCTGAGCAACAAACACCAATTAATTTTTTTTGAGGGACACAAATCAGTGCTTTGTGCACAACACACTCCTTGCCTTCAAGATTCATGCTTCCCCTTCGACCTAAAATATAATTATGGTGCTCACCTTGTGTATAGATGCTCCCAGACTGGCCAGCACAGACATGACTTCAATATCCACCTTGCGACTATAAGTTTGCCCCGTGACTATATAAGCTCTAGAAATAAGCACAAAGTCAGTCAAGTGCTCTGGGCATATGCAACTGAACTGTATAGCTTTGAGAAAGGAGTGACAGTGCTTGCTTAAGTAGATGACAAGATTGTCATTATTCCTTGCTTGGAACACCTTTGGATTTAGGTTGTTGATCTCCTGGAGGGCAGCATGCACATGGAACGAGAGCAGCAGAGGAAAAATGACAGCTGCACTTTGATAGCAAGACAAGTAAAGTGCCCTATTTAGGAGCATCCCGCAGAAAGCTGCAACTGGGAAGGGAAGACTGAAGGGGATAAAATCATCAGCAGAACAGATTCAGTTCAGCAGTTAGCAGAATGTGGCCTAAGATGGACAGCAGGAGTCACACTTTGTTAACACCAAATTTAGGTTACTAAGCATGCTTGTTACATACCGTTTAAATCCTGCCTTTGCAGTCACTAATCTGTCCAGTTCTTCCACCTCAGGAGGGAAAGAAACAAAACAAACGGGACCTCAAAATGCAATGACTGATGGAGGGCAGCAACAGCAAAAAGGATGCTCTGCTCTTACTGGTTTACCGTCATTAGACCTTACCCTTTCCTGGAAGCACCCACTCCCCTAAATTCTGTTTGCTTTCATGCAGTTTGGGTGCACAAAGAACCACAGTTTTTTTGCTAATTTGATGTTAGAATCTCCATATTCCCCCAAACACAACAGCATTCTGTGGGGAGAACAGGCAAACTGCATATCCTTTGGCTGGGTTGACTTACTTTGCTGTGGTCTCCCTCAAAGAGCTGCAAGAAGCTGGCTTGAGTGCCAGTGGTGCCTTTTACACCTCGAAAGCGCAGGTCATCCCGAGCCCTTTCCAACTTCTGCAGATCCATACACAAGTCCTGAATCCACAAGCAGCAGCGTTTGCCCACAGTGGTGAGCTGTGCAGGTCTAAAACCAAGAGCAGAAAGCAATTCATGGACAACCTGCTCAGCAATGCACGAACTGCCCTTAGCTGAGTCTACTGCTGAATCTTCCTTGCAGGTCTGTCTCTCTCAGACTCCTCAGAGTAGGAATTAAAAAGGCCTAGTTTAAGAAAGAAGAGATAACAGCACACATATAACTCCAGTAAATGATACTAGAAGATATCATCATTCTTTTCAGGAAATAGATGTAGCTACAGCAAGAGAAAATAGTAACTCCAGTTTCTGTGCATATTAGAAAGGACATTAAATTCCATTACATTTATGTGAGGGAGAAAGAAGTGAGAACAGGTATCTGAATGCATCTGTTTACACACTGGGCTTTTAAAAAATTCTTTAACGAAAGTAACTGGAGGCCCATTATTCAAATCACCTAAAAATGGTTTTACTTCTCCCCCCTCCCCCCCCCCAGAACTCTTTCAAATGGAAGTCTCAGGCAGTGCAAACAATGTGATTTAGCAAATCCGTGCTCCAATCTCTCTATTTCTGCTTTTCAGTCACAGCACTCTAATCCAAGAGCTGGAACTATTTTTAAAAGCTACCAAAGAGCAGGAAATGGCACCTCTCTCTGTCCCCTGGCTTTTCCTGGCCTCCAGCTGCAGAAGCTGGAATTTATTAGAGCTCCGGGGACGCCCCCTGGCGCCAATTGCAAGGAGCAGGGACCAGGGGACATCTCACCTGCTCCCCTAACGCTGGCTGTCAAGGGCACAGAGGGTAAGGTATGGGCTAACGTAAAGCTTGCAAGWTCCAGCGAGTTCCAATATGGTGTTATCGAACTAGAAATATTCACGCACACATCGTGATTTTGAACAACCACTGCTCTTCTAAGGGGCTACTCCTTATCTACAAAGGGCATTTATTAGCCTTTCATTTGGTTAATTACCAAATGCATGGTAATTAACAATCTTGTTATCCAGCATTTTTTTGTGAGTCTTCCACCTTGCAATGACTATTTGCAGTTTCAGCCTCACTGCACAGTTTTCTTTGCAAAGCATTTGATGTTACAATGAGCCTGGAGGCTAAACTATTTCAAATTTATCAGAATGAACTTTGCTGTTTCAGGAAGTACTACATTTCATGAATATTCCTTTGCACTCTTTCCCAAAGATAAGATAGAACTGAGCCTAGCGAATATTCCTCTGACGACCTGTGGATGAWGAGAGATACAGACCAAACTGATGCTGCTGTATATTCCATGTCAACTCCACCAGTCAGTCAAGCAGTCAGGGACCTGACCTTTAAGCTCCTCTCTCCTTCTTCAGGAGTCATTTTGAAGTGCAAGACATCCAGTTAGAGATGATCTGTGCTTAAATGCCCTGGCCCTAGTGTTCTGCATCACCAGAGGTGGATAATTCAGGCTTACCTCAGTTTGAAGCCTCTAAAAGCAAACGATTGTCTTCCTTAACACAGCAGGTTAGTTTACCCTCCCAGCAAGACCTATCCAGATCTTATTGTTCCTCAGTAAATCAATCAACACTAGTGGTGCTACATGAAAAATATAATTTTCCCAAGAGACYGAAAATCTTTGTCCCCAAATACGTGAAATTCTTCCTCATTCTTCCCAGGGATGCATTTACGGATGTATGAAAACTGAAGAATCTTGTAATCATCACTGCAGAACAAATCTTTACTTGCATTGTTAGACTAACTTTTTTTCTTCCTGTCAGTATCAAGTTTTTCTAAGCTGCAGTTAAAGCTGACAAAGGACAGAAAAACAAGCATTACAAAAACATGATGGGAAGAGAGACATTCTACAATTCCCAATCATGTCTTCTGAAACCACCCAGAATTTACACACCTGCATGACCAAGTTGTTCCTTACGAAATTGTATTAAAAACAGCTGCTGACAGTTCAATTCCCYGATATAAGCCTAGTGTCCTTTTTCTGAACCTCACACAACATCTGAATGATGTCCAGAAGCACCAGCTGCCGCTGATCAGAAACGGGAAAAAGAAGGGAGAAAGAAAGAGCAGTATCTAGTAAATTCATCCAAGGCAAAGCCAACAAAAAGTAAGCGAAGGTTTCTGCTACTTACTGGTAGTGCGTGAAGCCCAGAGTAGGCAGCTCAGCGTACTTCTCAGCAAAGTCGGCCAGCCGGCTGATCACCCGGGCGAGCTGGTGGCGCAGGCAGGAGAGAAAAGAGGCAGAGTGAGGACAGGGGGGAAAAAAGCAGAAGCTGATGGGCTTAAGCACAAGTGATGCTGCCAGAAAAGAGGGTGGAAAACAGGTGCAGAATGTTTGAATATTTCCCTCTAAGGGAGATATATTGCATTTTATTTTTTTTTAAATACATGGTGTACTGCATTTTTTCAGGGCATGCACATAACTTTTCTTGCTACAAAACTCAAGCAGGAAATAACAGAGGGGCTGGCCTTCAGCTCAGGCTAGCCCACCCAGTCCACACCACCAACCCAACCCTGCAGCTCCTGCTTTATCCCTAATGCTTTTTTTCCCCCCCGCCTACAATTGATCAGGTCAGCCAGGTAATACTGTACAACACTCCCATAATCTGACATTTGACCTAAGAAAACTGTACTGTATAGCTTCATGAATGCCTATGTGCTCCTAGGAATACAGTATGAGGATGCCTAAGCTGGCCCCCAAAGCAGCAGTTTTCTAAAACTGGCACCTACAGCACAGATAATCAGCTGGTAAATAGCAAAGTGCTGCTGCTAATACTCTTGGCAAGAGAAAAAAAATGCTTTGAGGAAAGACTTGAAAAAGAGCAAGCTTTGAGRAGAGGATAACTGTTCATTTGGTTGTGATTAACCCAGACAGCTCCTCCCAGCTCCCCAGCAGGGCCTAGGAAAATCCATGTCAAACACAGTCTATTAACATGCCATCAGTGTTGCCCACTTCAAAAAGGTGCACCACCCCCTTCTCACCTTGGGTAGCAGCAGGTTAAACCCATCACGAAGGACAATCAGATCCTGGAAGAAGAAAGAAAATTTGGGCTATGTTCAACACCACCCATTCAAGGTGAAGGACATGACCTAATGGCTTCTTCCTTAGCACACAGAGGACATGGATAATTAAAACACTGCCTGCTCAGAAGTCTCTTGCAAGGAAACCTCTGTTTCCCTTCTTGAATCAAAAGATGGCAAGGGACATCTTCTGGCAAAAATGCTGGATCCACCACTGTCCCTTCTGCGCTACCCCCACAAAAACCATATTGGGCAGTAGAACAGCCATTTACTGGGCAAAACAAATGATCAGGTACTTCTGATGTCCACAGAAGGGGAGACTAAATTGTTYATCGCAGGTGGAAAATGTCAGCACTGAAGCTAAAGGCAGCAGGTCAGTAAGTAGACTCTCAGGCGGCAGTTCTCTTAATCCTTCTGCAGGGACTCGAATTCACCTAAGTCCCAAGGGTCACAAGAAACGTGGATATTACTTAAAAGCCAAATACGCTTGAGAGGGAGTAGGGTAAAAATAATCACCCAGCAGCTTCTTGTAGAACAAACGAGGATGGAGAAGTTACATTGACTGACATGGGAAAGAGCAATACAACCGGAAACTAGGCTTCAGTTTTGAACAGGTTTTTCACAAACACTTTACAGAGTTCTGTGGAATGGTGGCAAACCTTTTTTATTTAACCATATATTTATCTATTCTCTTGGTCACTGAAATGATTTATCCTGAATAGAAGCAGATATTCCAAGCAACTGAAAGCTCAGGAGCTACTTATACCAGGYGCAGCCTTATTTTGCAAGCCAATGAACTCTTGTTCCATTGGCATACCAAGTTCTTAATCTGCTTTAGACTCCCAAGATCATAAATATCTTTTCATTTGAATATTTAACGCCTAAGTGGAACTTAGGGAACAGTTAATTTACTGATGAATCCTGTTTCATATCAAAAGGAAACAAGCAAGAGAGCTTTCTTTCCCAGAATACCTGGGATAAAGGGGAATTAACTTCAACAGTAAAATTAATAAAAATGTCTGAAAAAAAAAATCTAATGAGCGTTGTTTTAAATAGAAAAGTTTATAAAAAGCTAACAAGTGAGCAACTCCAGCTTTGTTTCAACCAGCTCTGCAAGCATGAAACTGGAAAGTGTTTAATATTGCAGCAGTTTTATATTACCGTATTATCGCCCACATAACAGGACGTGGCTCCGAGGTGAATGATGGCCGCAGCTTTGGGGCAGCAGTGGGCGAAGGTGTGGACATGGGCCATCACATCATGCCGCAGCTTCTTCTCTTCCTCTGCTGCCATCTTGAAGTCGATGTTGTCCAGATTTGCCTCCATCTCCTGTATTTGCTCATCTGTGATAGGAAGTCCAAGTGACTGCAAGGAGAAGAGAGCTTCCTATTTCCATTTGTCTCCAAGGGAAAACCCAAATGAGGCAGTAGCTGCTTAGATATTTTACTCCCGTATGACATATCTTGGAAGCATGACAATCTGGCACAACCAAGGCCCCAGTCAAGGGCACCCCAGCCTTTTCCAATAGATGCTCCTCTCGGGAATATCTCATAACATCTTTGAGGCTACTCTAAAAATTTGTCTCATGGAAAAAGTGACAGAAAAATTATATAGTTTCAGCTTTTCTTAATATAGTTTATATTTTGGATAAAGGACAATCCAGTCATCATATGAGGAGCTAGCTTGTACCAGGAAGAACTCTTTGGATCACAAGCAGATATAAATCACAGTAAATAYTGGGCTTAGAGAAAACAAAAGTTGTCTGTACCTTTCCAAAAGGCCTCCAAAAATACCTTATTTCTGTCCCAAAGTGCAAGCAGGGGAAATTAGCTGATTTGGATACAGGAGATAAGTTCATAGTTTAGATTTAAAGATTCTTGCTGAACTTTTTCAGCAGGAATCAATACATAATAAGATACCAAATTGCAGAACTAAGCACTGGTATAAATTGTGCATGGTTCTATACATGCACGAGTCAGCTGAGTTGAGAGAAAAAAATTTGAGCCCTTCCTCCCTTTTTTTGGACTTTTTTTCCTCCTAATACAGAGAGTATAAAAATGTAATGATGAACCTGACACCACTGCCTTTTCCAAATTAAAATGTACTTTAATAATTGCAATTTCCCAACCGGAAGCTTTAGTGACACAAAGTATTTCAAAAGCTAAAACCTAAACTAATAAGATGTTTTGCCTGAGCAGAATCTGGAACTACAGAAGTTCACTACAAGTTAAGCAGATAGGTCTTCAAGGACTTCATCAGGTAATTAGTACTCGCATAACTTAAAAATAGCGTCCTTTGATATAATTACATAATCATGAGCGCTCAGATGAATCAAGGAAAGTAGTGYCAGACTGCTGTCTCTAAGGTGTACACATAATAACCACCTGGGAATTGTAACAGCAACTTTGCAGGCAATGCAATCTTGAGCCAGAATTAAAATCTCCTACCTTGCTCACATCCATGATTCATTCTGAAMAGCCAATCAGGGAATATAATCACTGATAGCCACACAAAAAGGAGAGAATTAATTCCCAAGAACTGGGACGATTGGTCACTTACATGTACAGAAATACATAGGCAAGATTAGGGCAGTGCCAAAGCAAATGCTGTTCTCCTGCATCCATAATCACTACCTGAAGCCTCTTCTCTATGTTTTGCCCATTCTGACACGACCTCAGGGAGAAAGCAATCAGAGGGCCTTTGAACCTGTATACCTAAGAAAACTAAGCAGAAAAAAAACACTAGAGGGAGACCATAGGATTTCTTCAAAATAGCAGAGGGCAGTGATCCCACTGCGCTCTCTGGTTTGGCTCTTCAGGTGTGATTCTTCAGAGGTCATGCCAACGCTTTGATGCAACAGCTACAACCGCTCATTGACCCCCCCCCCACTCCTACCAGACAGCAGAAAGCACACGGACAATATGGGACATCTTGGGCAAACAGGAGGGGAACATTGACCTGCTCACATAACAAGGAACATATTGCACAAGAATTCTGAAACTTAAATAGTGCAAATATACATCAGGACCTGCTATTGGCTCTTACAAATATTTCTTCAGTTCTCCTTTCTAGGCTTATCAGAGACTTGAAAGATGGTGAGAATAWGTAATGGAACAAGTACTGCCCAGGGTTCACTCCTCACCTGCTTTTTACAATGCACCCCAAGACAGCTGCAGTGCATAAGGAACGTGAGGAAATGGCTTGTGACTATCCATATCTCTTAAACTGGGCACTGACAGAGCTAACAGGTGCTCAAAGTTCCTGAGCCTCCTGCTTTGGCTCAGAGCTGACATTAGAGGCCTAACCCCTGAGGAATGAGGGCACCATATAAAAATAGTAGCCTCCCTCCTCCCACTGCAAATAGGGTGCTGAAGAAATTGCAAGAGCTGTGCTCCATTCTGGAAACCAACCTCAACACTGGGARTGGGGGGAAAGGGAGTCAGCACACAGAGAGGTGCCTAAGGGACCCYGAGTTCAGGGCTTGGGAGAGGAAGCCTAGAGATCTCACACTGGCTATTTCAGCAAACTGCTTTTTCCTGTTGGGCAAGTCACACAAAATTCTTATTTTTCAGAAAGAAATATGATGAACGTCTTCTGGAATTAGTCTGTGGTAATGGAATTAGTCTGTGAAGTGCCACACTTTGAGCATCCAAGCTCCTTAGACAGACATTTCTGGTAATAAGAACAGCTAGCCCTAGTGCTTAGATTTTTCCTACCAGCTCAAGCACTTTGAAAATGGAAACTGAAGTTTTGTGCACAGAAAGAAATGGACAGTGATTATGCTCTAGATGTCCCTGCTGGAGCAGGGGGGTTGGACTAGATGATCTCTTGAGGTCCCTTCCAACCTCAACCAGTCTGTGATTCTATGGTGAAAGTTACCCAGTCAGAGGGCACGGTAGCTTGCTGTTTTGTTTTGTTTTTTTCCCTCCTCCTGGAACATATTATGGCGGTTTTATTGTCAGAAGTTGGTACAAATCTTCTTCTTATCCAGGTATGTCAACATAGCTACAACGAATGAACCTAGCGCATCTTAACAAGTGACTGTCTCAACTAAGAAGCAACAGTTAGCGTATACACTTTTTTTTTTTTTTAATTGACTGAACTCAAACTATGCTCTTAAGACATGAGCTCCATAGAAACTACCAACCCTTCCCTAACGGGCAAACTGGTCCTGAGTTTGTACCACCAGTTTCCTTGGTGCTCTGCCTCTCAGAAAGGCGACAAGCATTTCTTAAACAAGCGCTCTGCTCGCTTTGGACAGGAATAAATTCATGCCTGAAATTCAGGATTGGTGGAAACCACCAGCTGCAGAACGATGGGCGGCCCGCGAGGCACTGGGGGCAGCCGATTGCACCAGAGGGACCTTGGCATCGGTCACACCTCCAGGAGAGCAAACAGCAGAGAAAGGACATTCCTGTTTGCTCAGRGGGCACGAACGCCCCCAGCACCTACCAAAATCCTGCTTACCGCAGCGTTTTGCACAACTAAGTTCACAAGGAYGGGAAAAGTACAAGAGGGAGGGCATGGCACAGGGATACCTGATTTGCTGGGGCGTGACGGGCGCGGTGAGRGTGATGTATCAAGGACTGTGCAAACTGAGCCTTCCAACCCCCTCATTTTTCCCCCTTTCTTTCTTTTTGAAGGTTATTTCGGTGAGCTCTCCTTCCACCCAACCCGGACACACCTAAGGCACGGCTAACCCTCCCTCTTCCCGAGCGAGGGCCTCAGGGAGGCGCCGCTCAGGGAGCTGCCGCGGCCGGTGAGGGGGGGCAGCGCCCAAGGCCCTGCCACGGGGGCCGTTACCTTCTCCGCCTGGGCGAGGTAGAGCCAGAGGCGGCGCCAGGTGCCGAACTTCTTCCTCTCGCTGAAGTTGAACGCCATCTCGGCGCTGGCGTAGCGCGACACGAGCGGCGAGCGGTACCGCGCGAGCGCGTCCTCCTCGGCGCCGGGGGCAGCCATGGCGGCGAAAGCGGCGCGTAACGTGCGCGGCGCGTAACGTGCGCGGCGCGTAACGTGCGCGGCGCGTAACGTGCGCGGCGCGTAACGKSCGCSGCGCGTAACGGCCGCCGCGCGTAACGGCCGCCGCGCGTAACGGCCGCCGCGCGTAACGGCCGCCGCGCGTAACGGCCGCCGAGAAACCGCAGCGGCGCCCGAGCCGGGAGGAAAAGGCGGGCTCCGGCCCCGCCCCCCGCCGCCGCGCCCCCTGGCGGGCGGGAGGGGGCAGCGCAGAGGCCAAGCCCCGCCCCCCGCCCCAGAGGTGCAGGAGGGCACCAGGCCTACACGCATACATGTATTACGCGTATATATGTATATATGTTTGTATACATACACATGTGCATACATATATGTATAAACACATTCATTGGCATGATATAAACATGTATGTGTGCATATAGTTGCATGTATGCACACGGGTATGTATGTATGTATATTTACACACGCTAGGAGTGCTCTCAGCATCAGCTATCACTGCCCCATGGGAGCTGAAGGGCGGGACCCTCAGGACCCGCCTCGCTACCCCTYGGGCTCACTTTCCCTCATGTGCCTTTCCACTGCCCACCTTGTCCTCCATGCAGGACATGAGCTGTGGTATTTCTATAAATCCCAGCAAGGAGCAGGCCAGGATGGGGGCTCTGGCATGGAAACTCCATAAAATGCAGCTTTCAAGGGCAAAACATAAATGTATACATTATATATATATATTTTTTTCAAGTAGTATGTCTTTTAACACACAAAATGAATCAATGAGGCAAATCTCATTTGCCTTTCCAAGGTGCATGGAATGGGATCTTTTGCAGCAGCAAAGAGCTTGGATTTGGGACCTTCCAAATTATCACAGAATCACAGAATGTTCAAGGTTGGAAGGGACCTCTAAAAATCATCTAGCCCAACCCCCTGCTCCAGCAGGGACACCCTGAGCACGGGGCACAGGGCGGCATCCAGGCGGGTTTGGAAGATCTCCAGAGAAGGAGACTSCACASCCTCCCTGGGCAGCCTGTGMCAGGGCTCTGGCACCCTCACAGWGAAGAAGTTCCTCCTCACATGGAGATGGAACCTCCTGTGTTTCAGCTTGCACCCATTGCCCCTTGTCCCTTCTCTGGCCACCAATGAGAAGAGCTTGGCCCTTTCCTCTCTACATTCCCCCTTCATGAACTTATACATGTTAATCAGATCCCCTCTGAGCCTTCTCTTCTCCAAGCTAAACAGGCCCAGTTCACTCAGTCTCTCCTCATACGAGAGATGTCCCAGTCCCTTAATCATCTTGGTTGCCTTCCGCTGGACCCTCTCGAGAAGCTCCACATCCCTCTTACACTGGGGAGCCCAGAACTGCCCCCAATACTCCAGGTGCAGCCTCACCAGGGCTGAGCAGAGGGGCAGGATCCCCTCCCCTGACCTGCTGGCAACACTCCTCCTGAGGCAGCCAGGATCCCATTGGCCTTCTTGGCCACGAGGGCACTGCTGCCTCATGGTTAACTTRGTGTCAACCAGGACTCCCAGGTCCCTCTCCGTGGAGCTGCTCTCCAGCAGGTCAACCCCTAATCTGTAYGGAGGCCTGGGGTTATTCCTGCCCAGGTGCAGGACCCTGGACTTGTCCTTATTGAACCTCATGAGGTTCCTCTCTGCCCAGCTCTCCAGCCTGTCCAGGTCCCTCTGGATGGCAGCACAGCCCTCCGGAGTGTCGGCCACYCCACCCAGCTTGGTGTCATCTGCAAACTTGCTCAGGGTGCATTCTGTGCCCTCGTCCAGGTCATTGATGAACAAACTGAACAGCACCGGGACCAGTACTGACCCCTGGGGGACACCACTGGCCACAGGCCTCCAATTGGACTCGGCCCCATTTATCACCACCCTCGGAGCTCTGCCRTCCAGCCAGTCCTCGATCCACCTCACTGTGCACTCGTCCAGACCACTCTCCCGGAGTTTCCGTATGAGGATACTATGGGAGACGGTGTCAAAAGCTGTGCTGAAGTCAAGGTAGACAACATCCACGGCTCTCCCCTCGTCCAGCCGGCCAGTCATCCCATCATAGAAGGTTCGTCAGATGTGACTTCCCCTTGGTGAATCCATGCTGACTACTCCTCAACACCTTCTTCTCCTTCGTATGCCCGGAGATGCTCTCTAGGATGAACCGCTCCATCACCTTTCCAGGGACGCAGGTGAGGCCGACYGGCCTGTAGTTGCTCAGCTTCTCCCTCTTGCCCTTTTTGTAGACTGGAGTGACATTGGCTCTCTTCCAGTCCTCCGGCACCTCCCCTGCTCTCCAGGACCTCTTGAAGAYGATGGAGTGCGGCTGAGCAAGAACCTCGGCCAGTTCCCTCAGCACTCTTGGGTGCATCCCATCGGGGCGCATAGATTTTTGGGTGGCCAGTTTGTCTAAGCGATCCCTTAAATTATGTTAACAGGATGCATGGCCCAGCTGTGAAGGAGGCCATGGCCTTCAATCTGCTCAAGCAGCAGCCCAGAGAGGTTCCCAAAAGTACAAGGTGTCCGAGGCCTCTTCCCTCTTAAACATCCGAGCTTGGACTTACCAGCAGGAGTCTGATCTCAAAACTGGGACTAGACGTGGCAAAGAGAGATCAGAGTCCCCAGGAGGATGCAAGTCCGTGYGTGGGGCCGAATGAACGTGCAAAAACCAGACATATTAAATGCTTAGCAGCCAAACACATTTATTAGTCTTTTTTTTTCTTTTTTTTTCCAGGAACCCAAAAATATTTTGTAGTTATAATGTAAGCAACTGAGTTGCACATAATACAATCATATCTTTCAAAAAATAAAAATAAAATAAAAACAAAAAGCTGTTTAAAAGCCCAAAAAAACCTTCAGAAAACTTATATATGTATTACACCATCTCTCAGTTTCAATGAAATGACGACGACTTAATTCCTTGTTACTCTTAACTTTTCACACTCCAATAAAACATCACCCTTTTGTTTGTTTTTTTTTCTTTTCTTTTTTTTTTTTTTTTTTTTTTTTTTTTTTTTTTTTCTAAATCCAGCATGAGAAATACAGTACCTGCTATGGCAAAAATACACATAAAATGCAACATTTCAGCTTATTTGTACATTAGTAGAGTTTAAACATTTTTTTTCTTTTTAAGTGAACCAGTGATTTTAAGTACCACTATACTAAAAGTAAAATAAAAATATAGAAAAGGAGGAGAAGGGGGGAGAGGGCAGCCAGCCATACAAGAGCACCTTCTAAAGTGCTGAGTTTCTGTGTCCATGGAAAACCCAGAGGAAAGGAAGCAAGTTCAAACATGTGAGAGAGGATGGGATGGACATTAAGATGAAACCTGGATATGCAAGACACTGTGTCATCTCTGCCTTCTCCCCGTTTGTCCTGTATCTGCTTTTTCTACTGCACACTGGAGAAGGAGGGGAGAAAGCAGAACTACAATAAAAGTTTAGCAAAGAAGGCGATTTCAAGTATGAGAAAAAAAAAAAAAACAAAAACACTTAAAGGTAACTTGCAATTAGCATCAATATATGCAGCCACTATTTGTATTATTACAATGTCTGCTTCTGGGGGACAGTGTTTCAGGCAAGAGGACTTTTGCTGTACCTTCCTGTTACCTATTTATGTGCAAAGTAGAAAAGCTGCCTTTTCTATTCCAGCCATTTTGGACATCACTGATTTTCTGCTCTGCAATCTCCTCCCTTTATTTTTTTATTTTTATTTAAGAACGGAGAAAGGTGKCAATATATTACCAAGAAGATCCAATGAGATGATCCCATTTCTCCATTCCTCTTCAAGAYCCACCTTCTCCCACTCCTTGCTAGTAATAAAGAGAAATTCGCCCAACTTTTGATGCCCACCATTAGCCAGTTTCCTGAACAGGTAGAAGGCATTTACCTTTGTAAACATAATCCCTTGTGTTTGTGGAACTCAAAGCAGCATTTCCTATCTCCATCCAAGCGGTGGAGACGAGGATAGATCAGAACCCTTCCCCTCACTGCTTTTCCTCCTATTCTCCCTGCCTCCCCACGAGAAAGATTGCATTTGGTTACTCCTGTTAGGAAAGAAAATTTTTGGTTCTTTGGGGGAAAATACCTAACGTTGAATTCAAAGTAAACATTACCGAGTTGACATCAGCAGAGTCACACTGCTGTTTGTTCTGTTTTCTGTAAGCAAAAAAAAAAAAAAAACCAAAAAAGCCCACCAAACACCCAACGCTGTGCCTCAGATGCTCTGCGTGTTTCAAACAGGGTATGGCAGAAATCTAAGGTAGATAAAGATACCTAGATGTGTGTACGTGAATCATACAGGTGCACACGCATCACTTCAGCCTCATTCTCTGCAGAATCCCTGTAGATGTTTCCCCCGGGGGGTAGCAGAGGTGCAGAGGGTGGCACATGGCAATCTTGGATCCATGTTCCTAAGGCCACATGGAGCAACGCAGAAGGACGGAGAGGAGCGGAGCGTGTGAAGACAGGGGCGGTTTCAAATCCGCAACTGAAACCACATCTCAAGATTTCCAAGGCCAAATTCCAAAAGGCATGGGCTCATATGCACATCCCTGAGACACACATCCAAGAAAGAAGGAACAGAACCATGCGATGGGAGAGAGGCGGACGTAGCAGARGTTCCCTGACAGCTGTGGGATTTACCCAGCGAAGACGTCTTCCCCCACCACCCTCTCAGAGGTTCTGGGAGAGCTGTAAGGCATTTACACGAGCAGCATCTATTAGCATTCCCTCTGTTCCTACGTTTCATTAGCAGGTGATGGCTTCTGTGTATTGTGGACACTTCATCTTAAGTGCCTCTGGTAAAACACTTCCAGAAATCACTTCAGGGAAGGAGACAGAAAGTTACAYGGCCCTTCGCTCCTGGAGTGGCGTAAAGCAGCAAGCTTCTTCATATTACAGTCCCGAAGCGACGAAACACCATCTCCCTCCGTTCCCGACGGCAGGAGAAGATGTGTCCACTTGGAGGATGACATTACTAAGACCTATTTAATGC